GGCCTTTGATACTTGATAGAGCTGAGCACCAAATAGTTGGATCCTTTTTCCAAGGAAATTACTTGTTAAATTGTCCTGATTTTTATTTGATCCTGGCTTTTGTAGTAGGTCACAGTGTGTAATTACTGCGGCATGTTCAGACTCCTCATTTACGCGCACACCCAAAGCTCCATTGTCCCATCTACTCAAGAACATGAGAGTTGGAAGCGAGGAGTGTGATAGTGCAGGAAAAATGGAATTGTGTGACTTTGTGACCATATCCAAAGCCAGAGTTGAATTAGGGCTCCCAGCAGTGCTTTATGCCGTACTTTCTGCAAAACAATTCCTTAAGGTCCTTTTTTTAGAGAACTTAACTGCATAAAAAGGAAAGGCAAAATGCTGGGAAACAGTTATCTTAACGCCGAGTTGGAACCCAGATGTCCTCAGCTGCAGCTCATATGTAGTGATGATGGATGTGCTTTTTCTGCCCTTTTCATTATTTCAAATGTCCTGATATTACCACGAATGTTACTAAAAGCCACATGTTCCAGACTAGAGGCTTTCAGCCTCTTAAATAACGCAAGGCAAACTATTACTAATACATTGCACATATGTCTTACTACTACACCTTACTGAAGATCTTGAAATCTTAGGTGTTACAAAGCTGAGTAATTTTTAGGTGTAACCTTTTGTTGTTCAAGTGACTAAAAACAGGTAAGCCAGTGCAAAATGCCAGAGGTTTTACTTAGTATTTTAGTATCAGCATTTCAATAAATGTACTGACATATAGTTGACTCAAAATGGAGAACTCTACTGCGTTATATTTAACTATCCAGTTGAAAAGAAGATCCAGAAGAAATAGGACCAAAAAAGTAGAAAAGGGTAAATACACATTATATTTCACATACTGAAGAGCACTGCTTTATAAATATACATGACTTAAGCTAAAGTGAAAAATTGGTTCAAAAGGTCCCTAAAGTTAAGTGAGAGAACTTTCATCTTCATCCCCTGAGAAAAGAAGGCCAAGAAAAAGGAAATTAGTGATCAGTCACAGCTATCTGTAGTTACTATAAAATATATTAAATATTCAGTGTTATAAATTTAATGTACTTCCTGGTGTTTGTAACGAGTAAATAATGCTTAATTCTTAAGATTTCATACAAATATTTAAGCTGCTGTCATGTATTATTACAATCCATATTTGCAATATGCTGTGACTGTTGTACTAAGCCTCTCTTGAGAAGGCAAAGTAGGGGAACACGCTTCAGCTCTTATCAGCTTCATTTTCCTGATTTATTTTACAGCATTTGTAGAGGGAGCAGCAATAAGAATGTGAGAGGAATTACAAGTATCTGCAAGAAAGCAAGACTGGAAAGGGGTGGGAAGAGACGAAAAACTTCTTTTTCTTCTTTTTTTTTTTCCTTCTTTTTTCTTCTTTTTTCTTTTTTTTTCTTTTTTAAATTAACACATTAAAACTCTTAGCTTAACAACCTCTTTCTAGGTTGTCTTCTGTATGGAAGAAGACTACAGACTTCTATATATACAAGGCAGGGACTACCATAGAGCAGCTCTACCAAGTGAGCCATGAGAAGGATATTTGTATCTAAGGGCTCTCCATCAGAGATTGTACTTTCTAAAAAGCAGGTTTCCATGGTCTTGACAGTAGCTATTGTTTGAGCCATGGGGCTGAGAGGTCCCAGCTAATTAGAGGCTCATGTAAAAGTGTTATTTTGATTCTCAAGAAATGGGATAAACTGTTAATGTCAAATTGAGCATTAAGGCACAGTGGTTTTGAAAATACTTATATGTGGCCCAACTTCTATTAAAGGCAATGGGGGATTAGATTTAATATTGTTTCACTGAAAGCACCTTTGGAATTTCTACTTTGTTTCATTAACAGACTGTTCAGGATTTTTGGTCCATCTATATTCATTTGTTTGGGGAGTCACTGTGTGTGCAGGGAACAAATGGCTTTGTTCACTCTGGCCAACACGCACAGGGAAAACTCTTGCCAGCGGCAGGCCCGAGAGCTGCCTGGAGCCAGGGGACGTGGAAAGGTGGCGTTGCCTTCGGGAGCGGTCCTCGGCCACGCCTGGAGTGCCGAATCCCTGCTCGGCGCCCGGCTTCCTCCTGCTGCCTTTCGGCTAAAGCGAGGACGTGCTTTTCTCATGCTCTCACTTGCACAGCTTTCAATGACTTTATTCACTTAAAAGTAAATAGGTGACACTTTCATAGCCTTCTGGTAATGCCTATGGCAATGCATTCTGCTGTATGTACTCTTTAACCCATTTTACAAGGGTTTGTGGGGAAAAAAAAAAAAATAATGCCTGAAGAGCTCTTCCTCTCTGGGCAGCTCTCTTGTACAAGTGTTATGGTAGGAAGGGTACTCTATTTTAACAAGAGAGCTTCATCTTGCAGGGAGAAACAAAAAAAGATTATCAGTATCATATGCACAGCATTTATAATGGATTTTAATAGAAGAACTCTAAATATTCATTTCTAAATGAAGCATATGTTTACATGCTCCATTAATTCTGGATATCCTTAAGACTAAGACATTATTGAAGTGATCTGTCTCTCCAGATGCACTTGAAGCCTTTGATTAGTTAGTTCAAATATTAACAATATCTCTCTGCTATATATTTGTAAATATTAGACTTAAGACTTAAGCATGCAGGAACTCTAGAGGAAAACTTAAATGTGTGCTTTCATTACTGAAATAAAGCATACAGAAAGATTTATACTTTATAGCTCACTGCGTATGCATTGGGAGAAGCTCCTTTTGTGGCACAAATACCCTTCTTTGTTGCTTACCAATACTCGTATTCAGTGACACAAAGAACAACTGTTGTAAAAAATATTAGTATGCAGATGCTCTGGTGTTTTGTTAATGCATTTAATTAAGTACAATAGCTCTTTTGTTTGTTTTTCTTTTTCTGTCCTTGAATGGATTTGTATTATGGTATAGAATCTAGGCTTAGAGTTGCTATTTAAAATGTTTTGCAGTTTTAGAATGTGTCATATATCCATGTTAGTTACTTTCTCTTTTGTTCGGTTAACAAAATCATTTGGGGGCTTTAACAGTTTCTGATGAGTTTGGAAGTATCTTTTCAGGAAAACCAAAATCCCAAAGTTGCCAGCAAATATTTTCCTTTTCCCCACTGATGAAGTCTTCAGTGACTATCAGTATTGGTTAAATAATTGTATTCCCAAGAAATACTTTCAGACATTTTAACCGAAGAAAATTTTCTTGCAGTTTCCCAACATTTTCTAGGCAGTTTTCACAGAAGAAAAAAAAAAAAGTTGCACGGCAAAACTGCACATTTTTATTTTTATATGAAAAACTGTAGCAGACTGATTACAAAAAATTGTAGCCTAAGTACCGGTATATATATCCAGAAGCCGTCATTACCGTCTTGTGTTGTTATCCATAAAATTATTTCAGAATTATTCTCAGCCTAAGAAAAGGTTTCTTTAGTGCTCTGTGGGTGGGCGAAATGCTATGAAATGACTGTGTCAAGTCTAAAATTGCTCTGGTGAATCAGCAACGTACTTGAGCCCAGAGTACTTTGAAAACCTAAGAGTACTTGCCAGATCTATCCCTCCCATGGCAACAAGGACCAAATCAAATGGGGATTTAATGAGGTAATTAGAAGACCCTAAAGGTAATGTATGACTAACTGTAACTTACTTCTGAAATTTTGAGCCCCGTTAACTCCAAAAAAATGTTTCTGACACGGAGTGAGTGGGTGGGAGGTGTCTGCTCTGAAGGGTGCTTCTCAAGCAGTGACCTACCAGTACTCTTTCCAAGTTCTTTGGAGGCAAGACATACTCCTCAGTGGATGCAGTTTCCTTTAGAACAGTAGGAATCATGGTGTAGACTATAAAAAAACCCCTCCATAAATCGTTTTGTCACTGATAGAAGGAGCTACTACAGGTTAATGGTTAAGTGGGCTGCAACTGATTCTTTTCAGATATTTTACTGCGTGCATCAGAAAACAACTGTGGAGAAGGCAGCAGACATTTCACTTACACCACGGAGGTCTGTCTCGATGTCTTTCTTGGCTAAAAGCTCATCAGTTTCTGATCATTGTTTTTGTCACTTCTCACAAGCACTAAATGCAGATCGGACAGTTTTGCTCTAGGCCTTCAGGGTCAGAGCTAGGGCATCGTACGCCGGATGCCAGGATCATACACGGAGAAAAACTGTCAAAGGAGGCCAGGCAGAAATTGCGGTTTAGTGTTCTCTGCTTTTTTGAAGTGAGGACAATTTAAATCGTGAAAAAACCTCCCCTCATTACACTTGTTTGATTGGTATTGAAGTGGCAGTGAGGGATTCCAAATGGGGACAAAACCTTCAGATACAAAAGCTCTGACATTGTGGAGAGGGAACGTGCACTTGAGAAGGCACAGTCCTGTGATGTTGCTTTAATTCACCCACCCCCCCACCCCCAGCCCGTTTTGGAGAAAAGCAGCACATTTTAGAGTTGCGGTCTTCAAGGGGAAGTACAGGAATTCTGATTGTTCACTGAAAGCCTCCTCATCAGTAAGCCTTCCACGTACATAAAGTTAGTTTCAGTTGTGCTTCGAACAACCTATTGATCTATTTACAAATACATAAAAAAGCCACCTAGAACTACTGCAAATTTTTTGTGAGAACATCATCCCGGTTTCGGTTCCAAGATAGCTTAATGTTCTTGAAGGCTGGTAGAGAACATAGTTTCATTACAACTGCACATATTACGGGTTTTGTATGAAATGAGCATCTCAAGGCAAGGGAAAGAAAGCAGCATTGTTCCCGGGCTGTTTTTCACAGGCCTGTATTCATATCTCATCCTTGTTGTTTGCAGGAGAGGCAGATGTGAACCAGAACAATGGGACCTCCACGAAGAGCCCAGCGGTGACAGACTCCAAAGGCACAGCAGACCCGAAGAATGCCTGGCCCGAGGCCAACCCAGCTGACACGACCGGTCGCCCCCACTTGATCCGCCTCTTTTCCCGAGATGCCCCAGGAAGAGAAGACAACACCTTCAAAGATCGGCCCTCAGAGTCAGACGAGCTACAGACCATCCAAGAGGACAGTGTAGCAGCTTCAGAGAATTCGGATTTGATGGCTTCACAAAAGCGCTCCTCGTTCCGGCACGGATCAAAAATGGCATCTGCGAGCACTACAGACCATGCTAGACATGGATCTCCAAGGCACAGAGACTCGGGTCTACTTGACTCGCTGGGCAGATTCTTTGGAGGTGAAAGACACGTTCCCCGGCGGGGCTCGGGCAAGGTGAGCTCTGAGGAATAGAGAACTGCACAGCTACAGCAAAATAAAATACAATTAAACAGGAAGGGTGGGACTAAAAGGAAGGTGTAACTGCTATAATGCAAGAGTTGATTTAGCCAGCAAGACGGTACTTGCAGATGTGTAATTTAATGCTTGGCTTCAAACTGAAAACAACAACAAAAAAAAGGCATAGATCTGGGAAACAAAGAGGAGCTATTCTGGGTAGTAACAAGGAGTATTAGAAATCCAGGTGGCTCTAGAGACATTACTGCGAGGAATTTTTATGAACATTTAACATGGTGCATTGTGTGCATTTGTATGCTGTGCCATTTAGACAAAGTTCAGTCTGCTTTTGTGTCTTGTTCTCAAATATTTGCAAAATGGAGCTGGATGAGAGTACTAAATGCAAGACAATCTCTAGATAGTTTGGCACTAACTGAGGGACAGACTTGGAAATAGATGTTAGAAAAAGAACTGTGGCCAGGTTCTCAGCCTGCTTGTGCAAGAGCATGTTCTATATGGTCAGTTGATAGCGTTGCTGAGGAGATGGCTTGACAGATTTTATCCTGAATCCCAGGTGTACAAAATAGTCCAGCTGCTTTATTCTGGCAAGAAGTGAAGATTTCTTATTGGAAATTGTCTAACAAACCATTTCTTCATTATGAATTGATAAACAAGGTATTGATGAAAGGCTTGAATTCTTTCCTTTTCCAGGATTAACCCACCTCCTCTGATAAGCTATGTAGATGGCATGTTAGTTCCCTCTTGTTTGAGTGGCAAAGTTTAAGGTACATTCACTGTTCCCTGTTCCCTTTGCCATGTAAATGATAAGCGGAGTCTTGTGTTTGTGTGTTTACACACTACATAAGCATTTGACTGGAACTACTGTAAGACTGCAAAACCTTTGGTTTAGCTGAATATGTTGCTTGATGTCGTTGCTCAAGTTGTGTGTTGCAAAAAGCAATGCTCATAGATGCTGGCTGGGCCCAAATTTTTCCATAACCTTTGACGACCTTTGCTGTCTGTTCAACAGCAACCCGTGATGCTTGCCGGTTAGCAGGTGCAGCTTTCCCAAGTTGGCTATCTCGTAGCGTTGCGCTGCGGCATGATACGTACCGCCCTGTGATTTAAAACTGATTTGTGATCAGGACAGCTGCGGGCTGTCAGCGTACTTCACAGCGCCACACTTGGAAGCACAATGTATAATAGCCCTTCCCTGCAGAGCTGTTGTAATGTTTAGACCACTGGATGAAAAATACTCTAGAAACTTAAAACCAGAAGCTTCTCACACTTGGTAGCCAGTACTAAGCAAGCTGTGTGTTTTGGTCTTTTTGTTTCTCACACTTACAAACTAGGGACTAGAATGCTTATGACAAAGATTTAGCAATTACGCAGTCGTTTCTGTAGGTATGTAATGTTCATACGTGCAAGCAGTTGCTGTCAGAACGAAGAAACCCACTTTTCTTACTGTAAATATCAGAGACTGTTGCCAACAGTGCTGTTTTCTGGAACCTGGTTGGCTAGCTCAACTCTTGCTGTTTTATTCATATACTGTGTTACTCGATAAAAAACTAGTATTTGAAATGCTCTTTGTACACCAAGGAAACAATACCAAAAACTTAGATTCTGCATACAGAATATACAGAGGTATGTACGTTCTTGCTTAGCAATAAAACAAACCAACCAACTCACTTTTTAGTAGTGATGACTTAAAAACGGCTGCAAGTTGTACGAATTCTGTATTTTACCCTTTGACCTGAACACAATTGCTGTGATTCTCAACAGATCTCTACGTAATTATATATGAGAGGACAGGATATCATCTGTTTTACCTCTGTTGCTGTTCAGTAAACTGCTAAAAACGCACTTAAATGTCTGTAAAACAGTACAGAATTATGGACAATTCTAACATTTTTATACCTAGCAGAAGTAATTTATTTTTTTTTTTTTTAAGAACAGCTACATATAACGTAAGAGTCCTGACTTGCAGATCTCAGCTGGAAGCACAGAGAAGTTTTATTATCTTGGCAGAAGTCAATCACATTAGGACTTCCAGTGCCAAAGCAGCTCTAGCACTATTTCACACAATGATAATATTGATACATGAAAACGTGTCCTAGGAAGCTCTCTCGTAGGAGGGTTTCAGTGCAGAAAATGTTGAGCAAGTGGCACAGATACGTGTTTCAACTATTATTTATTTAGCTGTTGAATCAATGCCTTTTGGTTTCTTGCATCAAGGAAGGCTTGTGGTGTCATTTATTTATACATGTGTATACAGAGGAAATCTAGATAGCTGGTAGTCTTATTTGTGCTTAAAACCTGAATAGTTGTCACTTGCAGACTTTTGTAGAGCGTCAGAGTACTGATAGATGATGAAGGTGTTCATGGATGAGCTGAAATATGAATCGAGTCCCTTGGCAGTTTTCCAGACTCCACTAAGTAAAGAGGTCTTTGGCAAATAGGACACCGTGAAAAGCACTTAAAGGATGAATTTCAAAGGCTCGGAATTGAAAAGTTCCTGGGGCTGCACTTTTTCTTTGCTTGCGCTTGTGTCTGATTAATTTTTGAAGCATTTCAAAGCAATTCTGCAGCTGCCATCCTCGCAATCTTCCTTTTTCAGCCAGCCCGTGCCCCAGTCTCAGCTACCCACACCAGCAAGCACTGGAATGCAAAGACAACACTTGCTCTTTGTACAGATTTAGGGCTGACATTCAAGCAAAAGACATTACAAATTCTTTGTGGAGGCATTTTCATCTTGCAGCCCTAGCTGAAAAGTGCATTAATGAATAATATTCAGTATTGTGTACGGAAAGGTGGGGTAGGAACAAAGCGGGGACTGTTTTGTGGCCTCCTTTTCTTCTGTGGAACAGGTTCTCCCTTACCCTGGCATTCTGAAGTTAAATTAAGAGTGTGTGGGAGTCAATAAAAATAGAAATACTGAAACGTACAGAAAGATTCCTTCCCCTCTAAGGGGCAGCAAATGCATTTGCCATTGGTCCCCCTGCCCCATCAAGATTTTAGAGAACTGAAACTCAATCAAAAACAGGTTAAATGTTGTACTTTTAAGACTTTTTTCAAGGTAGAATATTCCAAGCAAAACTATTGTGCACAGCCTAAACTGTATTGTATTAAGGAAGGGTGACAGAAGGAAACTGCGGTGCATTTTAAAAAGCATGCAAGACAATAGTGTAACTATAAATTATTTCCTTCCTAATCTTTATAGAATATTTATCTAAACATTTGTAAAGGTTATAAGCAAGTTTGTTAAAATGATCAAATCTTTCTTGTGCCTCCGAGATAGTAGCCTGTATTCAACTTCAATATGTACTATTTTGTTTCTTTTACGCAGTTGTTTATGCTTTTTTAATTTTTTTATGTGGCTTTTTTTCCTTACTAAAGTTTTTGGATTGTGAAACAAGAAGTTTTCTGTCCTGGTTTAACATTACGCATATAACGTACTAAACTTTAAACTCCGTTTGTGACACACGTGCAACAGAACAAAATATTGTGAATGACAGTAAATAATGGGCTGAGGCCAGGCTTAGTGATAGGAGTAAATCAGTTTTTGTCTTACATTTTGCTTGTTTTGTATGCAGTCTTGTAGCATTCTCCTGTTGCCTGTATGAAGCCTTGCTCCTGTATTTCTTTCCCAATATACACGTCTTTGGGTGCAAGGAACAGGGAGGGCGGACACGGGGCTTCCCCGCCTTCCGACAGATACCAGGTGTGAGGAGCACTGGGCTGCGGCTCTACTCAAGTCGAGCAGAACCGGGGTTTAGGATCAGCATTTCTGCAACTGCAGCTCCCAACCCACCCCAGAGTTAGGCAGTCGCTGTAATGGGGATCCACAAAAAGGGTTGCCGTAAACATGCACGGGGAAAAAAGTTTAGGAACCACGGTTTTTCAATGACGACGGATCCCATTGTCAGAATATCCAGGCATCTTTTTTCTTTTTGCACTTTGAACTCTATTCACATTTCTTGTGCGAGCTTTAACGTATACTACAGCACAATGAAGACTTTGAAAAGTAGTTAAATCAAGGCTAGTCTGACTAGTATATGATGTGATTTAAGTAAATACTTACTGTGATTTTTATTTCCGAGTCTTAGTTTTCAGGGAGTGGTATTGCTCGTGATTGATACACTGTTTTGTAAAACCTGCTGTGCAAGCGATGTGCTTGTAAAAAAAATTTTATATCGTTTACGGTGGTTGTAACAATAATTTTGTTTTAATCTTTTGCTTTCTATGTGCTTTATGTATTCATTAAACTGTTTACATCACAAAACCGGTGTACTAATGATTTGATTTGTTTTATAAATACTTTAATCCATTAACAGAAGTTGCAACAGACTACTTCTTAGTACGTGAGGGGGTTTCAGCTCATTAGAAGAGGCTGTATGTCCTTCTACAGAATGCAGTTATAACAGTGTATTGGACAGAAACGAATAAAGCTTGCCTGCCATAAGGAAATGACCAGGTTTGAAATAACTGAAGCTGCTAAATCCGCTGTTTTCCCTTTATGAGCACGGGAACTGAATCTGGCCTCTCTGTGTTGTAGCAGGTGGTAATGAATGATGAATGGCCTAAAAATGAATTCGTGTCTCAGAACTGCTAGTTTGATTAAAGCTCATTTCGCTCGTAGGGTAGGCCTCGGAGCGCTTTACATTTGCCTGTTGTAAAAAATAGTAACCTGTACAAAACGAGCAAGCATCGCCAGGTGAGTACCGCACAGCACCTGATAAGCGAAAGGCTTAGGAGCCAACATGACATAGGGTTAATTCTGACATGTTCATTTAACACACGTATAACCGTATATGTGTTATACATGCTTAATAACTCACGTGTTATTTAATGCACTGGAACTGATTACCTCTGGCATTGGCAAGGAAATGACTGCTTGAGGCAATTGTTACAAACGATCAGAGGAATCTGGCAGCCAGAGCAGGTGCAATGCCAGCTAAGGGCTGCTTAGAAGAGCAAGCACGAACTTTTGGTAAAAAGTA